CTGGACACCTGCCTGCCCCATGTGGATAGAGATAACATTGGCGCATGATGATTGTAGTTCCCTGCTGCATGCCGCCCTCTTACCTCCTCTTAGTCCAACACCACGTGCCTAAAATCAAGTATGACTTTTTAGAGAAAGAGCATGAGTAATATCAGAAAGGGCCATTATAGATAAGGATGGATTTGTTTTTAATTATGTGAGAATATTATGACCTTTATATAAATTCCAAATTGGCTCATGAAGTAAAGAATCTATATAAGACCTTTAACATAAAAGTTGAAATGGTATTTAAAGATTTTTGTGGTGTTAAAATGGATACCAGGCTCAACTTGGTTGGTTGGTTGGTTTCTGAGACAGAGTCTCACTATGTCACCCTTGGTAGAGTATTACGGCATCTCAGCTCATAGCAACCACCAACTCTTGGGCTTAAGTGATTCTCTTACCTCAGCCTCCCAAATAGCTGGGACTACAGGCGCCTGCCACAATGCCCTGGTATTTTTTTTTATTGTTGTTGTTATTGTTATTTAGCAGGCCCAGGCCAGGTTTGTAGCCACTGACCTACAGGCGCCAAGCCCTAAGCTGTTTTTTTGGAAGAGTTTTGTCAAATTTTCAGAAGTCATAATTCCTACATCACAGAAAGTGTGCCAATGTGTAGAAATGGCAACAAACCTCCTATTATATCTGTAGGAACCAGCATACTCCTGATCCCAAACTGGACTAGGGCAGTACCACAACTATACTTCAATTTCACTTAGAAGTGAAACATAGGTCTCCAAAAAAAAGAAAAAGAAATAAAAGAAATGCAAAGTCCAGGCAGTGCCCATGGCTCAATGAGTAGGGCGCCAGCCCCATATACTGAGGGTGGCGAGTTCAAACCCAGCCCCAGCCAAACTGCAACAAAATCTAGCCAGGCAATGTGGCAGGTGCCTATAGTCCCAGCTACTCGGGAGGCTGAGGCAAGAGAATCACCTCAGCCCAGGAGTTGGAGGTTGCGGTGAGCTATGTGACACTACGGCACTCTACCAAGGGTGATAAAGTTAGACTCTGTCTCTACAAAAAAAAAAAAAAGAAAAAAAGAAATGCAAATCCTTGCTCCCCCTACTCCACCAGCCTACTGAAGTGGACAATCTGTGCGCAAAATCAGCAATGTGTATGGTTTTTTTTTT